CCTACTTAAAATACATGTCTTACACACATTTGAGACATCCTTTACACTTTAAGAAAACACAACAAAAGAGAGTAAAAGGGCATCAGCTGAACATCAAAGTAAGCTGAAAAAAACTGAAAGCTTTGTAAGTGATCTTCTGAGTGCATAATCTTTGAGAAAACAAAAGATCTTTTTAGTTAGCTTCTGGAATTACATAGTTACTAGCTTCAAGTATCTTTTGCTGGATTTTCTAGGCCATTTCATGGGTTATAAGTTGCCGATTCTTTGTTGTTTGTGATGAGGTTGTTAGTCATTTTAAACCAAACTTCTTCACTGTTGGTTAACTTCTGCATCTAGGTATTTTTCCAGTCTTTTTCCCTTAGTGTAAACCTCCGTATGACTGAATGAAAACATAAATAGCTTGATGTGTTTTTACTGATCCATCTTGTTGGTATAATCTCTCTTTTGTTATGTGTGAATAAAGTAATGTTGGCATAAAGGCTGGTCATGGAGTTTAAGTTCCGGAGTATGTATATTTTGGATATAAATTGCAATAAGATTAGCTTATTTTTATCTTTGTTAGGACTTATTGGAAGTAAATGTTCGATATTGGAAATTTTGAAGGATTTTCTTTTAAAGATACTTTCTTTTTTCCAGAAATACAAAACATATATGTATATATAAAAGATTCTAATTTCTTTCTCTACCGCTTTCGTTTTTCTGTTGAGTTGTTCCTTCCAAAATCAAATCTGAAAATTGCAGAGGTGAAGATATAATCTGTTTGCTTGAGTTCATTGGCATCAAAGTGATCATTCTGTTGATATCTTCAATTAGCATATTAATAAAATTAGTGATTTAAATCCTGAAACATAAGTTGTTAATATATGTATCAATCTTTGATGACACTTTGAATGTTTTGATGGTAAGTGTATTTGGTTCAATACTTCAATTGCTGAGTGAAGATAATATATATATATATATATATATATATATATATATATATATATATATATATATATATATATATATATATAGTTTATTTATTTATTTTTTAAAAAGCTGATAATGTGAATTAGAATAGGCAGAAAGTGATCTTTCATGGGATGACAAATAAGTGGGCTGTGGGGAAGTCTGGACATATCAGCAGCAAAGAATTTGGGCCAGAAGGTCAATTTCTGTAGGCCCAATGCCAATAAATAAACAGTTGGCCCATCCTTTCTTCTTTAAAAAATAAATAAAGGGATTTTTTCTTATCTATACCATATATGAAACCTTATTACCAAAAATGTGCATAATTCCTAAATTACCCGTCCAGTCCACATTATTTCTACAGTTTTTGTACCAATCATTAAAAGCTAATTAATAGCAGTTGTATCTTCCTATTTATGCGAGCTAAATTTTAGGAGAAGAATATTCTGAACAGATTTGGCGTGAATATTCTGAACAGATTTAGGAGAAGAATATTGAAACGGAAAGGAGATTTCTGTTCATCATCTTCACATTCATCTATTCTTCCATATATTTTCCACCATTGATAGCCATTAAAAAGCTTGAAAGCTTTGAATTCAAATTTGGGTTTTCAAAAATCATTTTGTTTGGATTGGGTGTTGTTGTAAATAATTCGGAATATGTTTAGGAGTTTATATCTCAATTTTGAGGGGTTTTGGTGAAGATTAGACTTGGTTTTGACTGAATTTCATATTGAAACTCGAAGAAGAAGAAGAAGAAGAAGAAGAAGAACATATTTCCAGAAATTGTAGATAAATTGTAGTTAAATTGTAGAATTGTAGAATTGTAGATAAATTGTAGATTGGGAAGACTAAAACTTCTACAAATCTTCTACAATTATGTCGAAAATGCCAATTATGCTACAATTGAAATGGGAATTGGGATATTAAAATTCAATGTATCCATTTTGTAGATATCTTGTAGATAAATTGTAGATTATTTGTATTCTGATTGTTGATGCATTATTTTCTGTTTTCACAAATCCAAAACGACTAAAGCTTCTACAAAATCTTCTGCAAAAAACAGTCTACAATTTATCTACAATTTTTTTAATTTTTCTACAATTTATCTACAATTTCTGGAAATATGTCTTCCTCTTCTTCTTCTTCGAGTTTCAATCGACTGTGTTAACCAGTAACCTTCAGCCACTGCCCAAAAAAAACAAAAAAAAAAGAGGTCAATGAAAATAATGATACATTGATGTTTTGTACGTGTAAATAGAGAATTGGTAAATAAGAACTAATCTGAAGATACGGTCGCTAAGTTAAGGTTTTTGGGGAAGTAAATGAGAACTAATCTGAAGATTATTGATGCTACTGTCCATCTCCAAAAGGGGGGGGGGGGACGGGTAAAGGTAAATGTGGGAAGATACGGTCCTAAATTAGCGCCTAATATAAATGCACCCTTAATTATATCCCTAATTTGAATTATGGTATATAAATGGTAATTTGGTATGCTGAAATGTAATTAACACAAATCTTAAACATTGAGGGTAATAAGGTTTCATATATGGTATAGGAAGGTAAAAATCTCAATAAATAAATAGCTGACCCATTTTCTAAAATAACCATAAGCTAGCCCAAATGATTAAAAATCAAGTTTCTTATAGATCCAATAAAAGTTGATGCCTCTTTTAATAATTATTTTTTTCCTTAATAGCTTAATTACTTTTGATTAATTTAAACACTAGGCAACTAGTAGGCGTGCTTTAACTTTTTCAATCACGGATTCGCTTGCGTAACGTGATGTTTAACATTCAATAAATTAATTCAACAATCTCATACCATATCCAATAGCTTTAATTAATTTCTAATTTAATTAATCCTTTGCTAAAATCGTGGATTCACTTGCATAGCGCGATAGTTGATATATAATTAATTTCTTCGAATGTAGTAATTTTTTCAAAAGTAATAATGTACTAATAATCCTTGTCATGGCTGTGGATTCGCTTGCGCAGCGCTGTTATGATAAAATTAATAAATTTCGTCTCGATCACGTATTTGCTTGTGTAGTGTGGTTATGACATCTTATTATTCAAAATTTTCTTTAACTTTTCTAATAATCAAGAAATAAAAGCGGATAGGTAAAACATGAAAATCAATAAAACACAATTTGTCCAAGATTAATTCAAGCCATTTTTAGTCAATAAAAGCGACCGTGCTAGAACCACGGGACTCGAGGAATGCCTTACACCTTCTCCCGATCAATAAAATTCCTTACCCGGACTTTATTTTTATAGATCAATAATAGAGTCAAACCTTCCTTTGACTAGGGATTCAAATAAAAGGTGACTTGGAACACCCAAAAAATCAATTCCAAGTGGCGACTCTGAACAATAAAATAATCCCTATTTCAAAATGGTCACTTTAGTTGGAAAAGCTCTTAACCCACAATAATCCATAAGATATATCTTTTAGGATAAAAAAAAAGGCATGATACCGATCTGCATCGAAGTCGCTTCTAAGCTTGTCTTATTTTTTGTCTTGGTCACGTCCCTTGGTTAATGTCGGGAACCCAATCTGATTGTCTTCTCTTCTTATTTTCGACTTGTAACGATTATGGACATCTGCCCATGTGGTCGCTTCGAATTCGAGCAGGCTTTCCTTCAGCTTTCGGGAGGTGTCGGAGCTCCTGGGATTCAAACCCTTTGTGAACTCCTCCACTGCCTACCCGTCTGGTGCAACAGGTAGCAGCATCCTCTCTTTTTGGAACCGATCACGAATTCTCGCAACAATTCGGACTTGCCTTGTGCAATCCTAAATATGTCCGCCTTCCTTGCTTGGACCTTCCTGGCCCCAGCATGGGCCTTAATAAATGAATCTGCAAGCATTTTAAAAGAGTCAATTGAATGTTCGGGTAAGAGTGAATACCATGTCAAAGCCCCCTTGGTGAGCGTTTCACCAAACTTCTTCAATAGGACAAATTCGATCTCATGTTGAGCCAAATCGTTTCCTTTCACAACTGTGGTATAAGTTGTGATGTGCTCCTGCAGATCCAAAGTCCCACCATATTTTGGTATGTCCGGCATCTTGAACCTCTTTTGAATCAACTCTGGTGTTGTGCTCGGTTTAAATGGTAAATGTGCGTATTTTTTCGAATTCGGGCCTTTTAATATTGGTGGTGCGTCTGGAATTTAATCCATTCAGGCGTGAAACTCCTTTGCATTTTGATACATCCATCCGTTCGTTCATTTTCCTCATAAACCTCATAAATTCAGTTTTGAAGGGATCATTCCCGTTGTTGTTTTTTAGTTCGCTACTAGTCCCTCCGACTTCGTAGAAACCAACCTCGCCTCTTGGGGTGTTGTTATAGACTCTCTGAGTCGTTTGATTTTCAGGAACGCTGGGAGGAATTGGGCCCCATCCACTCGCATTATTGGAAGCGCCTGACAACGTTTGCTTCAACTCTGTCATCACCTGATCCTACCTTGAGAGGTGGCCCATGATGGCTTTCTGTTGCTCCCACTACAACATTATGCATTTATAGCTATGAAATATGTTGTAGCTAAATATATAAATTTCTGTGGCTAAACACTTTAGCCACAAAGAAAATTCCGTAGCATTCGTAGCAAGAAGTAGCATAACTAAAAGTTAGCTACAAACTTTACATGGTTCATGGCTAAGCACTAATACTTATTGCTACCAAAAAAAATTGTATTGTAGCTGTAATGATAAAATATCTTGCCACGAAAAATATACTTGTAGCAAGTGATTTAATTTTTTGCCACGATGATAAAATTTGTAGCTATCTTTGTAGCAAGATTTGATTTGTTTGCCATGAAAATTCAAATTTTATAGCTATTTTTATATCTTAGTCCCGTGGCAATAGTACTTGTATTTAGCTACGAGTTCCATAATTCATAGCTATGAATTAACATATTTGCCACAAATATTTTCTTATATAGCTAAATTTTTTTTTTTGCCATGAAATATATAGAATTATAGCTAAATATGTTTTCGTTTGCTACAAAATTTGGAATTATATAATCATATTTTCGTGGCAATATAGATATATTTAGCTGCTAATTCAGTAATTTTATTGCTATAAATTGAAAAATCTATCACATGATTTGTTAGTACAAGAATATTTGTATATGTAACTAGGAATACACATTTTTTAGATTCCAAATAAGTTACAACTGATACATAATTGTATTTTTAAATTTCAAAGTATTTAGAGTACATAATTGATGACACCAACTATAGTACTAATATCTTGCTTGAGACCCAATGTTGTACGATCTTCTCCTTTCTTTCCTGCAATTATCTTCATCTGCATCTTAGCTTGATCAACATCTCTTAGCTTGTTAATGGAGCTCTACTAATTCCACATCTTTGCCAGCCATTTTTGATAAAGAAAAACAACGCCAGCTGGATACAAACTTATCAAACATGTATTTTTAACATGTACAAATAATTATATATTTTATAGAAAAGCATTACAGATTAACTTCTCATGAAAAATCTTCATATATTTCTCTAATAGTTTAATATCTCTGTAACATGCTTAGTATGGTCAATTTTATGAGATAATGAAACTCTCAATAAGCTTAAAAGAAGTAGCAAAATTCCAGAATAATTTAATCTTTTGCACTAAAATATTCTGTCAACAAGATCACAATGAAGAAACAAGTATGTAAACCTACATTATTATTTTATGTAAGAATCATAGATCCACACAACAAAAAGACCCAAAGACATTAACATGAACAACAACATACCTAATTAGTAACAAATATTAACATGAATAACAACATACCTAAGTAATAACCAGAACGTTCATTCAGTTTAATCGAATATTTAGTACGTGTTCTTTGAAATAGGCTGCATAAGGACAATAGCTTGTGAATCAACCACAACTAGCAAACATCTATTTATTAGCCTCACCAATTTTTGACATGCATGAACGAGAAAAGGCACAAATCACACATGTAGTGCATTTTCGATTGAACTTAACAATTTTTTTTCAAAAACCCCCCAAAATATAAAGATAAAAAAGATCCCATTCAAAGAGAGAACCCACATATAATACAGTTAGTTCCTTACTTAGATTCCAACATAGTCAATACTGATTCATTATAATTAACTAATATTGTTGTTTTACACAAATTAAGACAAACTAAATCAAAGTAGAGGGGAAAAAAGACAAATAAAATATGAAAAAGATCCTGGAAAGCAAGAAATTACCTAAATAAGATTGATAAAGAACGGAGATGGAGAAGAGAAGGGTGGCGGCTGGAGCTAGAAAAGAAGGGATAGGTTTGGGGCTTTTTACTTGGCCAATTGGCTTACGTTCTTGTTTATATCCTTTACGTTCCTTTACCTTTTTTAACTTTTACATACAAATACCATTAATAAATATAAATAAATGTAGAAACAACTATGGCTTAAAAAATTACCTTAAAAACAACAAAAAATATATGTAATTAACATTAAAGAGAATAAAATAAGTTAATTATTCCCGTGAAAAAAATAATATTCCGAATATATAAAAAGAAAATATCAAAAAAAAATATTTAGCAACAGAGATTAAGTCTACTAATTTAGTGATGACTATAATTGCATAAATATTTAAAGTATAACTATAACTCACATGTAGTAATACTTTTTTGATATTGAATTATATTATTTTTTGAAATTTTATTAAATTGTTAATTTTAATGTTTCTTTAGATTTATTTTAACTATTAAGTCATCAAAATTGTAATGGATCAACATCAATAGATTTTTATGCTTATTTATATTGAATATAATTAGTTATCAATATAATTACATACAAGAACATATTTGTTTAAATGTGAGATAATTAAATATTTGAATTTAATTAAGTAGATCACGTAGTTAGTTAAATTATATTAAAACTTACAAGTAATAATTTATTTAATATACCATTATAATATTTTAGTTAGTTGAATCATATACTTTAATATCAAACATATTAAGTTCTTATTTTTTGAAATAAAACTTTATAGTCACGAGAGAGATGAAACTTGATCTAGTATGCGAACCATGTTAAACTCTCAACTGTTTCGCTGGATAATGAGTTTTATGATAATTAATAAATTATTAGATTATTAAAGGACCAAATCTATATGACTTTTGTTCTTTATTATCTTGATCATATATACACAATGTAATGGATACAATCTTATAGTTATATAAATTCTATATAATTAGTTATTTACGTATCAACTAGATATATTCAATTGTTCTTTATAAATATAATTCAAATCTATAAGTAAAGTACTTATTTTGTAAGAATTGCAATATTGTTATTTTTGTTATGGACTTAAATATTAACTATGTTATAGTCTTAAGTTTATATAATTAGAAAACTTAGTTTTTGAAAGACTAATATGATCATAAGTACTTATTTCAAAAATAAGCGCTTAGATATATGAAATTACTTTAAGTACTTATTTAAAATAATTAAGTACCACATATACATACATACATATCTCTACAAACTGTTAAAGTCTTCTATATGAGTACTTATTTTAAAATAAGTGCTTAAATATAATAAATTATGCTAAATTCTTATTTAAAATAATAAAGGACCAAATATGCATAAAATAAAGTATGAGCTTAATAAGTCAAGAAGCTAGTTGATAAGCATTGATGCCAAATGCACTTACTAACTTTTCTACATTGCAGAAAAAATCTAACTTTTATATTTAAAATTTATTTTCGTAAAACTTCTCTAAATTTTGGACAAACTCTTATATTGATTTTGTAATCGAAGCCAAAATATTAATTTCATTATGAAATTTTTTTAACAACTAATTTATTATGGTAAATAATATTGATATGGTAACTTCAAGCACGACAAAAATTATAACTACCTGCGGAAGTTTACTGTCTCTCTGAATCTTGTGGCTACATCATTCTATCATAACAAATACTTGTAGCTAATAAGCCAACGTTGTTCTCGATTTCTTATAACTTGAATTTTAAAATAATTTAATATTTATTTCAAATCATTATTGTGGCTAACATGTTATAACCGCACTAACTTCAAACACGTGGCAAAAACTTATATTTAGCTACAAAATTTTATTGTATCAGAATAAGTTTCTAGCTATTAAGTTAGTTTTTGCCACAAATTTTTATAATTGAAGCAAATATACCTTTTCAGCTACAATATTTTGTATCGAGTAATATTTTGTCACTAAAAGACTAATACTGCTACAGTAATTTCAGATGTGTGGCAAAAACTCATAATTAGCTACAAAATATTATCCTAGGAATAAATTTTTATATATACTAGTTTTAGTATACGTGTGTTGCACGTGTGTATGGTGTCTATCAATTAAAAATATATTCATTAACGTTAAAATAAAATATAATATTTGTTTAAATGATGAAAATAATTTTTCTCACACTAACATAATAATTGTATTCAATATCTTCTTAATATGCATAGATGATGAATTAAGTTAAATCAATTGTATATTATTGGTAATGATACATATCTTATAATATGATATACAAATATAGTATATTGTGTCTCACCGGACTTTTCTTTATGAATACATTTTATCATCTACGATTTAATCCTTATTTCTTAAAGCTTGCATTTCAACTAATTTAATTATTAATATTGTAACTGATTTTATTTTATATTCTGATTTCTATTAATTCAAATACTTAATTATCTTTTTTAATCTCTAAAAGCGATAATTTGCTTTTTGGGGATTCAAATTATTAATATTTGCTCCTACCATAAATTAAATAATTAATTCTAAATATATTTTTATCCCAAAAGTTAGATCGG